AGGGTTAGGTTTGTGGTTGGACTTGATGATCTTAAAGGTCTTTTCCATCCTAAATGATTCTATGATTCTATCTTCCTAGACCTTTGTAACGTATTTCCCAGAGGAGACTGGAATAAGCCAATGGCAGCCACTACCAATAAAAATGCTTTGTACACAGTTCTGCCATATCCCTGTGAATTTGCAGATCACCCCATGTTTCCAGGCAAGCTTTCAGAGACTGAGCTGTGCAACAAAGGATGTCCAAGGCCCTCTAGCCTTTGTGAAGTTTCTTCTCCCACCTCTGAGGCTTGGTTTGGCTGCTCCTGCCTCTTCTAAGAGGATTCTGTTTCTGCATGAGCTGCAGGTTCCCAGCTCCAGGCTGTGGCTCTTGTCTCTTTCTCTGCCTGCAATTTCTGTGGTCTCTGGAGCCTTCTTTCCAAACCATGAGCTTCCTAAAGCAGCAGCACTACTTCTGCTGTAGGGAGTCTCACATGACTTAGTCTTCACAAGGACTTAACAGCATTATGACCAAAGGGGCCAGAGGCGGGGGTAGAGGGGAGGAAGGAACAGACAGCATAAATGCTGTCCATCCTGTAGTCCTATTCTAGCCTTGCATTCTTAACTAGACAAGTGTACCACGTTCTTTCTTTGGTATAAGTTGCTAGAACAAGACATGGCTTTTTTATTTGCTTTTAAGTAATAGGTTTCTAGATGTTACATATCCTGAGTCATGTTTGGACAGACATTGGGGCTTCTCTTAATTTCATAATGATCTTGGGTTTTATTTATTTTTTAAGTTTAAAGATACATGACCTGCAAATGAAGGAAAAGGTATTATGAGATTCCAGGAAGAAAGAAACAGGACCTAAGGTAGTGCAAGGGAACAAAAATCTCCTGTGTGGAAAATGCAAAGCATATGCCTGCAGTACAGATGACATCAGAGTTATAAAGGTATGTCTCTGTATGGAAACCTACATCCATAAACACCAGGGAAGTCAGCAGTATTGAACTAACAGCATTGTTTATCAGTGTGGAAAGTAGGCTATTTTGTGCAAACTGGAGCAGAAAAAAATTCTGAGTAAATCAGTAAACCACAGGACCAGTCATAACTACTTCTGTAGCATGTTATGATGGTAGTTGATAATGTCCGAGGTGTGCAAACATGTGCTATGACAGGCATCAGTTCTGTTTTCCTGAACCCCTTCTGTTAGAAATTGATGAATTTTGTGGAAAACCATGTGATCTTCAGCGACATAACCTACTAGTGTAACTGCTGGATATTTACTTTCCCGATTAGCATAAGATTGGAACTCTTCCTGCAGTTGAGAGATTTCTCCCACCATTTCTGTTGACTGAAAATTATCCGTACAAAGTACCAAGATCAGCTCACTGTTTAGCTCTTTGGCTTACGGGCAAATTTTCTGTTTTGAAAGGCAAGGCAAACCATGGTTTTACAAAAGAAGTCCTTTCATTCTTCAATTCTTTAATTACTTTGTTTTCTATTCTTTAGGTAGTTCACATTGCTTCTATGTATCTCATGGGGACATTTTTATTGTACTCTTTCTGAACTTGAAGAATTTCTCTGTAGGCCCAAGAAGCCAATACTCTACACATGGAAAGTGGTGATCATGAAAAAGAGCCTTTTCTGGGCAATTTGAGCCTTTCTAGTTCTGAAATTTGTTCTTTTGAAGCTCTTCTATTTGTGCTGCTCTGAAAAGCGCAGTTGTGATGTGATAAGGGGCTTCAGGCCACAGCTGAACATTACAGAGTGCTTGCCTTCAGGCACTTCACTTTTTAATCAGGGAAGTTTTTTGGTTTTACCAGCTGGTTTTGGAACGTAGATGGAGCTCGCTACTCCTCTGCACAGGGAAGGTCCACAGGCAAGGAGTTGGGAATAGCTCAGCCTTGTGAAAACCTAGTTACATTTCTTTGACAAATAACAAAGGATATCTAACATGCACCTCTTGACTGTTAGTCCGTTTTGTGCTGCTGGCTTATCACCTATACCTATGCAAATAGATCTGAGTTCACAAAACTCTTCAAAAAGAGGCTTTGCTTTATAGTCTGCAAATAACCCCTCACAATATTTTAAATAATCCCTACAAACTGAGTTCTGTCATAGTTCAGCCTATATATTTAATGGAAGTTGCATTTCCAGGAGGAACTAGTGTTTTCAGACTCCAGCCCAAATTGTACATATGCTTTCAAATAAAGTTGTTAAATTTTTTAATCTTTGATTGTATATATTATAAACAACTGTAACTCCTTTACCTTGTTAGGGTTACTTTTTCTACCACTCCCAAGTAATTGCATCACCCCTTGTGGAAAGCTGGGGTCATATAGTTAAAATGGGAGGCAGGAGTCTCTCAAGTTGTCTGTTCTCTGGATGACTTTGTTAGTTTTACGCACAAGGCTCAAATATTGCACGCATGGTTTTTAGAAAAGCTAAATAAGTTCAAATATGTATGAGCTGGTGACTGGTGATATATAGTAATTTTGGTTCTGGTAAGCCCAGGCCTGGGCCCTTTCTAGTACCTGGTATTTAATGAATGGGGACAAAAGAGCGATGAGCCGAGGGGGCTGGAAGGTGAGCCTCCCAAATGACAGGAAGCACCTTACCAGAGAAATGGTATTTGTGAGGGGAAGGGGAATGCCAGGAAAAAATGAGGAATGGTGTTTCTACCATTAAGCACTTCTGGCACGTCTTGTTTCAGGAATGTCATCACACTGTGCTAGGAGACACGTTCAAGGAGCGTTACGTGACAAAGCCTCACCAGAAACCAGTCCAGTTTGATTTTTTTGAGAAAAAAAGCAAGATGCATTGCCAAAATACTAATTGCCAGCATGACTGGGGAATCACAGTGAAGTACAAGACATTTGGTAATCTACCAGTGATCAAAATCAAAAGCTTTGTAGTAGAGAATGTTGAAACTGGGACGCAAATGGATTTTCAGAAATGGAAAAATATTAATTTTTCTTTGAAGAATTTTGATGTTGAAGAAATGTCTAGCCGAACTCAGCATTTTAGTGCATGCATCACCCTACTGCACTAAGCTGAAATAGTGGATGACCTATTTCCATGTATAAAAAAATTCTTGCTCTTTATGCTGTCTGATATGCTAGGCCCCTCATCAGCATCTGGTTAGATTAAAAAAGGCTAGTATGGCCACTAAAAAAAAATTGCTATCTAGTGAAATGTTTCACAAGAAGTTTTAATATAAGCATGGACAAACATGTGCCTAAACATCTAGATCTTAATCCTTGCTGCTATGAAGTAGTTGGTCTGAAAAAAAACAAAATCAAGTTGAATGACTAACTAAATACCTAATTTTAGGTGACAGGCCACAACTTCAAGCATTCCTGTGTGAATGAGAATCTTCTTTGTTACCAGTAACTTCTGGTTGGATTGCACCTCCATGCAGACAACATGGCTTATGCATACTGACACTTTAAGCACTACTTTAGCTACTTTTAAAGCTTTTTAAAAATTACTTTTAATGCTTTAGACATTTTGGTATATAGAAAATTAAGAGAAAATGTCCAGTAACTTTTCTGTAAGGAAGATATTGCATCTTTTAAACCCATCTTTAATAGAGAATGCTTCTTCAACAGTCTGAGAAAAACAGAGCCCTCTTGGAGGAGGCATCTTCTGGATTAAAATAGTAGCACTGTTTTCTTCAATCACTGTTGCTGAAGTTGCAGAATGGACACCTTTCTATGTGTTGCTTAACTGAACAAGCCCCAAGGGGGACAAGGCAGTGCCCTGTAAGATGGGTGAAGGCTTAACTTGGAGGGTTATTAGCATTTACTCTGATGTCCAGTCCCATCAATTGGCATCTGAAATCTCTCAAGATACTAATATTAATTCTGCAGATTTCCCATCAGAGCTGATCTAGAATTGGAACAAAGTCTAGGCACTAGCGTGTTTAAATCCCTCCTCCCCACCCAGATCCCAGACTTCTCTCAGAAAAACAGAAATTGCTACAGCCACAGTTATGAAACATTGTTAAACTTGTACACTTCAAAGCACTTGCTGATCCTACATATCTTCAACGACCTTAATCTTCGATATTTCTGGAACCAAGATCAAATATATTTTCAGTTCACTTTATGCATTTGATAGTGTAGTAAGGTATGTATGTGGAAGAATTATGTGTCTGAAACATTTGAACTCTGAAGAAAACAAACGACCTTGAACAGGAACCTATCTCGGAGTCCAAAAATTATTTAAACTACCCTAGTCAGTGAGACTTGCAGTTTTCTTTTAAACAGTGTTATGTGGCATTAAAAGCAAAATGCTTTTTTAAGCACTGCTTCATGTTCCACCCCAGTCCATACCTTTTACTGTGAAAGCTGTATGCACTGTACAGGAAGCCCAAATCTCAGTCCTGCAGTAACTTACTCTGTGCTTAGTTTTTACCTAGTAGATTCGCTGTCCTTATAGCTGCTTCCAAAAAGGAAACACAGAACAATGGGTAAAGATGATTTATGGTCAGATAATGCCTCCCCTCCAAAAATACTAGGAACAAAGATTTTGAAAAAGTCTGGTTTAGCACTTTCAAATTAAAAGTACATGGAAAATCACAGTCCTTGAGCATCAGTTTGCCGCATGAAAGGACCACCTACTTCGGGACTCTTGGCATAAAAAATAATCAGTCTTAAGTTTCACAGCTTATAGTAATAATTACTGGGAAGTTAAGGGATTTGAGGAGTTTTAGTCTTTTCCTGTTGTTTGAACGCGAGGATTGTAGACTAAAACAACTCCACAGTTCAGCCTAAATGAGTGTAATAAAGACTGATGAGATGACACATTAATAAAAATTCAATGATACAAGCCTACCTTCAGTACACAGTGGAGATGGGAGGGTGGGAAGCACACCAGCACTCTACCTGGCCTTTGAGAATATCTGAAATTTTTTTGCAATTGAACCTAAAGTTGCATATTTATTACCAAATAATGCTCAAGATTATGACCATATTAACAGCTCTCTGTTAAGATATTTCATAGAATCACAGAACAGCTGAGGTTGGGAGGGACCTCTAGAGGTCATCTTGTCACCTGCAGCAGTTTGCCCAGGACCATGTCCAGACAGCATCTGAACGTCTCCAAGGATGGAGACACCACAATCTCTCTAGGCAATCTCTTACAGTCAGTGCTTGGTCACCCTCACAGTAAAAAAGTATTTCCTGATGTTCAGAGGGAACCTCGTGTGTTTCAGTTTGTGCCCATTGCTTCTTGCCCTGTCATTAGGCACCACTGAAAAGAGCCTGGCTGCATCTTCTTTGTGCCCTCCATTCAGGTATTTGTACACAAACAGCAGAGATGTCCCTGAGTCTTCTCTTCACCAGGCTAAACAGTCCTGGCTCTCTCAGCTTGTCCTCATATGCAACATCTTAGTGCGCCTCTGCTGGATTCACTAGAGGAGCTCTGTTTGCTGTAATCAAGCAAGAATAGCCTGTTGCAGATGCAGTGCAATCTCTATCCCCTCCTTAAGCCTCTTGACTTCTTTCAGAACTATTTTCATTGTTTTTTTCCAAATACAGCTGGAGCCGACTGCACTGAAAACACCTTAGGAGATCACTTTGAAAGAATGTCTCCACTGTGTTAATTGCTGTGGCAGTTGCTCTAAATATAGTTAAGAGTAAGAATTAGTACTATAACCTTGTTTATCTCTGAGTAAGAGGGTATTTGTTGTCACTGTAAATAGATTCATGTGGTATTGTGGATTGGGCAGTCACTGACTTCAATGAATACATTAGTGTCATCAGTGGTTGCTAACTGCCATAAAAATTGCTGACAAGGATCTTGAAATTGTGGTAGATTGTCTTCCTGAGGACACAAAACAGAGGGAAGTACATCACAGCAGTATTCTGTTTGTTTACACACTGCCAGTATCTGACAGTATTTGTATTCATCCTGCCTCATGCAGATTATTCAAAGAAACAAGAATTAAAATATGAGAAGTCAAGACTTGTATGACTCTGCTCCTACAGGGACAATGAGAAGAGTTTAAAGTCAAAGCTTTGTTCTGCATTTTGGTACTGAAGATAACATGACAAAACCCACAAAACTTCTTGAAAATAAATTTAATTTTATCCATTAGAAATATTATCCCCAATAGGTCCACCTTTCCACAAAGGCTTACAAAGTTCACATTTTTTAAAATTAATAAACAGCTAAATAATTAATTTCAGTATTAGATTCAAATTCTGGTCAACTGAATAAGAAAGCAAGCCAATATCAGGTAATCAGGAAGGAATAAAAATTATTTTTTTATACTGTCAGTTGATTTTTGGACCACTGATATGAGCATAGAACTTAACTTCAGAGTCAAACTAAATGAACCAAATACATGAAATCAGCACATGATCTTCAACAGCTCCACAGATTCCAGCAGTATTTTAATGACTTTTGCACTGTATTCTAAGGTAAGTCAAGCCAACCACCATACAAAACAAATAATAAATGCTGTTTACTTTAATTGGGCAAGTGTGTCCAGTTTCCTGATACACAGAATAATTCAGTATTGTAAACAAGCCGCCTAATACAATCCAGAAAAAACTGTTCACTTTATGGTTCACACTTTCAAATTTATGATTACCGTAGCTTTTCTGTGGTCACCAGAAGCAGGCTTGTACCTGGATGTGTTTGCTTAATGTTTTTGATTAGGATGCCATTTTACGGATCATGTAGTTCAGAATGCCGCCGTTGTGGAAGTAAGTGAGCTCCACGTCAGTGTCAAATCTCATGATGGCATGAAAGGTTTTCCCAGTATCCAGCTGTTGGGGTCAAAGAAAGTCATTCAAGCAGCAGAACCTTCCACATGTTACATGATATCATAGTAAAATAAGGACTACTATGATAGTTTCACCATCTTAAGAAATTGTGATAGAAAGCTAAAGTGAACAGGCACTGGACATCAGTATTTCTTTCCACACTAGACTACGGCCAGCTGCTTAAGAGAAAAGTGGTTTAAAACAAACGAAAATAAACATGGTATGGAGTCTCCTTGTATTGCATTTGCTGCCTCATCTAGATTTATTGTTGATATAAGCCTAGAGGCATGAAAGCTGACCATCCTTTCAAGTGGTTATACTAATTCTTGATGTTCTTCTAGTAGTCATTCTTCTGGCTTGGGTACAACAGCAATACTAATTTCATTAGCTTTCTTTGAGGCCTCGTGTTTGGGAATCAGAAAAAGCAAGTGCATGAAGTGAATAAAGCTATTGTGTTTTACTGAAGACTCTTCCAGTCAGGTACTTCCAGATGAATGCACAATGTTCATCTGTGACTGATAAGCTGACCAACTCTTTGGGATCTATACTTTCTCCATTTCAGGGCAGTTAGTGAGGCACATGTAACAACTGTTGTTAGAAACTAATCCAGGGAGAACACCTGCATTAAATGAACATGCAGTAAGTAGATTGTTTTGCTAACTGCAGTAAAAAAGCAGACTTTGATGCTGTTAGGTTAAGTCAGTCAGTTTTACAGATGTTCCAATCAAGAATAAGGCAAATTTTTATTGTAGATGCTAATATTTTTCAAAAAAGGGCATAGGTTTGGAGGCCAAGCTAGACAAAAAGCAGTCTTTCAAACACAGGGCCTGAAGTTTAAGTAGATTTTATCCTGGGTATACTTAGATTTCACTTTGAATGCTGCAGTGTACAATATTGTCAGTTGAATTGTCAATGAATTATTTTAATTTTAAATTCATTTAAATAAATTAGTTCAATTTATTTAATTTAATACTTACAGTTAACTTTCTATTGTGCTTCAAACATGTAACTGAGACAGAAAAATTTATAGTGGACTTTGAAAGACGGGTCCAAAATACAGGACTGCTTTGTGCTAAATAAAACAGTTTGGCCAAGCTGCTTTTATATCCCATCATAGCAAACCCTATTACAATGACTGTTTTCATCCCCTCCACCATCTCAATTCTTCTCCCTTCCTCAAGTGAGAGGAGCTTACTGCCATATGAAAGCCTATTGTCTGAAGAGACAGTTAATTTTGAGTGAAATTAACAGTGATTCAGAAAATTCAGCCCTTAGG